CGTTGGGAGGAGGACTGGCTATGGGTATGGGTGCGGGTTGTCGGACCCTGGAGAACGCTCCCGTTCGAGCGGGGACCCCAATCCGACAACACGCACCCATAGCCCTCTCCGATCCCCCTATAGGTATGGGTGTGTGTTGCTGGTTCGTCACGTCGGGCCAACCCGAGTTCCCCGTACCCGAGCCTTACGCCTCCCCGACAACAAATGTTTCGCCAAGAGCCGAACGGCTTCTGCCGTCCCTCGATCTCCGCGCCGGAGCGGCCACGGCCTGCCCCCAATCTCCCGGGAGGTCTTGGCAGCTGCCTGGATCTGCCCAGATGCGTCTCGGCTTGCCTGCCCCTGCCTTGCTTTACCTGGCCTTTTCCCCACAGGCTCTCGGCCTCGCTCTGAGGCTCCGCCGCCTCATCCCTCCTCTTCTCTGCCTAACTCAAGTTTCGCGCGGCCCGCTTAGCTTCGACCAGAAGAGGTGCGCTCTCGACCCGCGGATCAACAAATTGTCTGCCTGGATCTGCCCGGATGTGTCTCGGTTTGCCTGCCCTGGCATCGCTCGGACGTGTGCATCTTTTTCTCGGCGAGGACCCTGGAGGAGCATCCCGGACCAGCGAGCAGCAAAACGAAAGCGCACGAAACCGAAAACTGCACGGGGAATGGACCTCCGAGCGACGGCAGGCTGCACCTGCCTTGCTTCACCTGGCTTGTTCCCCACAGCGTCGACTGGCGAAGCGTTCCCCGAGCCCTCAAGGGCTGCTGCTTGAGGCGTTGGGCCCCGGAGGCCCCAGAGCCGGTCCTCGGCGCGAGCCGCGCTGTGGGCGGCCACGTGGCCCCCCGCTGACAGGGCCTCGGGGAGCGGAAAGGAGGAGGACGAGGGAGGAGGAGGAGGAGGAGGAGGAGGAGGAGGAGGAGGGAGGAGGACGAGAGGAGGAGGAGGAGGAGGAGGAGGAGGAGGAGGAGGAGGAGGAGGAGGAGGAGGAGGAGGAGGAGGAGGAGGAGGAGGAGGGAGGAGGAGGAGGAGGAAGAGGAGGAGGAGGAGGAGGAGGAGGAGCAGCTTGTTTTCGCAAGGGGCGTCCCTGTGCATGAACTTCGGCTTCGGCACCGCCTGTATCCGAGGCTACGCCTCCTCTCGGCCTCGCTCTGAGGCTCCGCCGCTTCCTCCCTCCTCTTCTCTGCCTAACTCAAGCTTCGCGCGGCCCGCTTAGCTTCGACCGGAAGAGGTGCGCTCTCGACCCGCGGATCAAAAAATTGTTTTCGCAAGGGGCTCAATGTTCCTGATGCGGTCTTTCTGCTGCTGGTTTTCGAGCACGCCTCGTCTACGCAGGCGCTTTGGCGGGGCCAAGAAGGGGTTCCGTTATTTGCGGTCGGGCCGAAGTATGAAATCGAGGTCGGTTCGGGGAGGGTGCCCTCATGTTCTTTGTGCTTGCTGGATGTTCTTGTACGTTCTGGGCACCTGGGCAGGGTACCCTTGAATGCTCTGTGTGTTTTGGTCGGCGGAGGGTCTCGTGTTCTTGCGGGGTGCTCTTCTGTCCTAGGTCCGGCCGTACGTAGCGTTTCTTATTGCAACAGCCCGGCTGTTGCCCAAAAGCGGCCATTGCTCCATGTTTTCTGGAGCCTCGGATCTCTTTGTGCCTCCTTCCTTCCCTCCCTTCCTCGTCCCCCTCATCCCGCCCCCTCCCTCCTTCCATCCCTCCCTCGTCCCCCTTCCCCTCCCTCCCTGCCTCCCTCCCGCCCTCCCCGGGCTGGGGCCACCCCGGGCCAAAAACACCTGCAGCAACAAACGAACAGGATCCTGCAACGCCGGTTTTCGGCTGAGCCGGGTTCGGGAGCCGCCCACGGCCCTGGAGGTGGCTGTGCACGCTGGCCGCGCCGGGTCTGGGAAGCCCTCCCTCCCGGAACAAGTGCAGCGCAGTCTTTCTAGATTGGCTGAGCCGGGTTTGCGCTGAGCGTGGTCAGTCCACGCCCGGCCTGGGCCCAGACGTATGATGTTCCAACCTATTTTAGCCTTGATCACCAGAATGAATTTCGAGCACTAGGAAAACACCAAAACTTGAGGGTTTTCACGTGTCCGGCCCTGGGAGACACTCTTTCGACACTCTTTCGACACTTTCCTGGGTGCTCGAAATTACTTCTGGGATGTGGTCCTTAAGTGCGATGGGAGCAACATAAGCCCAGACCCGGGCGGATGTCGGCTCGGGGCTTGGCCAGCAGCCCACGCCTGCCCTGGCTCGGACGCAAGCTGGGCCGGCGGATCTAGTGGCCAGGGACACTTTTTCCTTGGTCCGTCTCGCGCCTCCGTCTCTCTTGTCAAGCAGTGGCGGAGCGTCCTGTCTCGCCTATAGCCCTGCCAAGCAATGCTCTAAGAACCTCTCGTGGTTTCCACGAAATGTTCTTAGAACATTTCTGGCGGGTATTGTTTTGTTTTGCCACATCGGGTTCATGTTCTAAGAACATGGTTTTTGTTCTTAGAACATTAGGAGCATTTCGTGGTAGGACTGTAGGAATGCCGGGACGGTCGGTCCCCGCTCAATCCGCTCCCGTCCTCCCTCCTCCCTCCTCCTTCATCCCTCCACCCTCGCCCTCCTCCCTCCCTCCCTCCCAGGTCGTGCTGGGCTGGGCTGGAATGGTCTGGGTTGGGCTGGGCTGGGTTGGGCGTTCCCTCCCCCCTTCCTCTCTTCCTCCCTCCCAGTCCTTGCTAGAGGTCGCCGTGGAGGCGCGACGCTAACGGGGCGTCCTGTGGCGCGCAGTCGGCTGACTTATGTGCAGTGCTGCGGTGGGGTCGGGAGCGATGGATTGAGCTGGGGTGGGCTCTTCCCCTCCTCCCTCCTCCCTCCCTCCCTGCCAGTCCTGCAGGATCGGGTTGGGCTGGGTTGGTGAGGCCTGGGATTCTGCTCCCCTTTCTCCCTCCTCCTTTCCGACTCTTCTCCCTTTGCACGGCACGGCGTCCATTCCTGCATCGGCTCCTCATGCGACCCGGGGTGCCTCCTGCCTTTGGGGAACGCGGTCGAGAGGGCGCTTCGGAGACGTATCGTTCGGGCCTCTCTGCCGCCCCTGCTTCCTCCCTCCCTCCCTTCTGGTCCTTGCTGGGGTGGGATGGGCTGGGGTGGGTCCGTGCCGTCGCCTTCGGCGTCTGCGGCGACGTCGTCTTTGCTGTTGCCGCTGTGCTGTCTTCGTCGCTGTTGCTGTGGCTGTCCCTGCCGCCGCCGCCGTGGTCGTCGGCGTTGGCGCTGCCGCCGCTCCCGCTGTCGTCGTCGTTGTCGTCGTCGTCGTCGGCGTCTTCTTCGTCGCTGCGGCGTCGCTGCGGCGTCGCCTTTCCCTGCCGAGCCGTGAGGGCGGTCCGCCGGGTTTCGCCCCCGAGCTCCGCCGCCGGATCGGGGGCCCCTGGTCGCCTCCTGCCCCTGGGCAGTGTTGACGGTGCCAAACGGGCCTCTGTTTGGAACCGGAAAATTCCTGGGGTGGCTGCCGGGCCCGTCGCGGTGGCCGCCGGGGGCGGCCTGGCCCTGCTGGGGCTCCCCGAGCAGTTTTCGAGGTGCCAAGCAGGCCTTGGTATATGGTATTGCGAAAACTGCCCGGGAAGCCTGGGAGGGCCGCTGGGCCCGCCTCGGCGGCCGCCGGGCGCGGCTGGCTGCCAGGGATGTCGGGGGAGTGCCTCCAGGCCCGCCGGTGTGCTCTCTGGGCCTCTTGCTTTTTCGGGGTGGGCCCTACTGGAGCGGAGGTTGGATCGCTCCTTGCCTCCCTCCCTCCCCTGAGGTCTGATAGCTCTTATTTTAAGAACGAATCTTTTCCATATAACATGATCGTTCGGATACTAGCGGGATGGTTCGGGAACTACTTGATGATCATGTTTTGACCGGAAGAGGGAGGGAGGATCCTTCCTCCCTCTTCCGGTCGGTTCCCTCTAGGACGTCGTGTGGAGTTCCTGGGTCGGCGTTGGGCCCCCCTCCCCGCACCCCGCGCCTCTTCCCCAGCGCTCGGAGCTCAGGAGGAACAAAAAAAACACAGACACAAGTCATCGCCGATTCCCCAGAAAATATGGGGAAATATGGGAAGTGGGGGGGAAGACAAAAACCCAGAAGATCTTGGAAAATATTGGGTGCGTATTTATTTGTGTGTATTTATTTGTGTGTCTCAGGGCTCCTTCCGGAGCGGGGGACGCTGTGGCGGCTGTCTCCAGAGCGTGGCAAAGGGGCTCGGGCGCCGACCTGGGCCTCGGCGCGGACCCGTTGGAGCCGGTCGTGGCTGGGGTGGGGATGGCTTTTGGGATGGGCCGGCTGCGCGTGCCCCCCCCCCCCTCAGGGAGCCGTAAGACTCGAGTAAGCCGGAGCTCGGGTTTGCCGACTTTTTTTGACGAGCGTTTTCTGGATTTTGACGGTCCTTATTTCGTGGGGTGTCTGCAGCGGGAGCCCGCGTCAAGTTTCAGTTTGGGTCTCGTCATTTTTATGATGGCCCCCGTCAGGCAACCCGAGTCCCCCGTACCCGTGTCTTACGTCTGCCCGACCCCCTTTTGATCCTCTCTCCCTCCATCAGGCTAGCTTCGTACCTACGTCGTGCGTTGGCGTCGGATGGAGTCGAGACCAGGCGAGGATCCCTGCCGGAGGGCCGCTGATGCCCCCTCCCCAGGAATACTCAAATCCAGCGTTTGCATTCCGGTTTTGGGCGTGGCACCTCCCCAGAGGGAGCCTGGGAAATTGAGGGAGGTTTGGGCACGGTGGCACGCAAGTCCTCGTACCCTCCTACTCTCTCCCAGGGCTGCTTCCCGAGAGTGGTCTCATCCATCCCTGGGCTGACGTTGTGGGGTTGCTGTCGGTCGCCGGTTGGACCCGCAGCTCTCACTAAAGGGGGCTGAGCCAGCAGTCCCAATATGTCACCTCACTGGGAGGTCACCAACCAACCAACCAACCTCGTCCCTCCCTCCCTCCCTCGCCCCTCCCCTCCCCTATACTTCCCTCTCTCCCTCGTCGTCCTCCCACCTTCCCTCCCTCGGCCCCCCTCCCCCCTCCCCCCAAGAGGATGGAGATCGACGACCTGCTGGAGGAGGCCCTGGCAGAGGAGGACGGGCCCCTGGTGCCCGAGGACTTCGACATGGCCTCCAGGCCTTAAGTCGGGCATGTCCCTCTACAGGAGGATAATTTCAAACAGTTTTACAACAACATGTGGGAACGATGTTTCTACAAGTTTTGATTATGTTGGAATAGTTCTGGACTATTTTCTAATCTTTCCTCCAAAAGCCCCCTGGGGGCGATTCGTTTTAACCATGTTTGACAGCTTGTGGATAGTTGTGGCTATGTTGCACGTTTCGTCCGGAATCCGCCTGAAGGAGGACATGCCCGTCCTAACTCCAGGCGCTTCCTCACGGCGCTGATGAACGCGGACCGGGAAAACGGCACGAGGCGGCATCGGAATGGTTTTTGTTCCGTTGATCTTCCCTTCTGCCCGCCACTGTCCTCCTCCTCCACCCTCTCCTCACGCTTCCTATCCTCCCTCCCCCCCGTCCTCCCTCTCTCTCTCCTCCTCTCTTCCCTTCTCGCCTCTCCCTCCTTTTCCTCCTTCGCCTTTCCCTCCTCATCCTCCTGTCCCCCTGCGCCTCCTTCCTCCTGCTGCTGCTGCTCGTCCTTCTTCTCACTTCCTTCCTGCATTCTCATCGGTACAGCGCATTGAAGAGCGTCGGGCCAGCGTTTCGTTTTTAGGCGACGAGGGTCCTTGGGCCTGGAATGGGAGCGATTCCGGCTTGATGGAAGAACCCTAAGGGTGCGCCGCCATTGTTCGCATTAGCAATTCGACGGCCCAACGGGCCAGAGGCGTGCTAAGACCTCCCGTCGCTGCTGTACAGTCTTCGCGCGCGCGGGGCGGCCCCTGGGGGTCCCCGGACGAAAAGTACCCCGGCGAATCCCTTGCCAGAGATTGCTTTTCTCCTGGCCGCTGCCCTCGACGCCCTCCGGAGAGCCCCAAGAGGAGCCAAGAAGTTTCCAAAACGCCCCCCAAGATAGGGCTTGAGGGCTCCGAGATGCCACAAGATCGCTCCAAGACGCCCACCATGGCTTCCAGACGCCCCAGAAGGCTTCCCAAAGCACTCCCAAGAGGGCCCCAAGAGGCACAATTCATTGATTTCCTTTGGTTTTGGACACATTTGGGGGTTTCTCCTTTTTCGGCTTCCCGACGCTCCAAGATGGCCCAAGAGGCTCCCAAGATCGCCCCAAGAGGGTCCAAGAGGACCCCAAGACAGCCCCAAGACGGCCCAAGATGGCCCCAAGACAGCCCAAGAGGCGCCCAAGACAGCCCAAGAGAGCCCCAAAGCGGCCACAAGAGGGGCCCAAGAAGGTGACCAGGAACCGAAAAGTCAAGCCTTCAGTCCCAAGAGGCCCCCAGGAGGCCCCCAAAGGCCCCCAAGAGGCTCCGAGGGCCCCCAAGAAGCACCTCAAGAAGCCCCAAGAGGCCCTCAATAGGCCCAAAGAGACCCCAACACGGCCCCCAAGAGGCTTCAAAACTGCCTCCCACAGGCCCCTGAGAGGCCAACCGCGAGAGCCCAACCAATATCCGTGAGGCCTCTGACCCGCCACCCACCGCCTCCGAAAAATGGCAGCCGCCCAACCGCACCGCATTGACAATAACGCCCCGACAGACCGCAGCGGCGAGGCAAAATGGGCCGGCGGAAGGAGCGAAGCGATATGATGTGTATATGTTTATGTATGTACATACATACATACATGCATACATACATACATACATACATGCATACATGCATACATGCATACATGCATACATGCATACAAACAAACATACATACATACATACATACATACATACACACATACATACATACATACATACATACATACATACATACATACATACACACATATATACATACATAAATGCATGCATACAGACATGCATGCATACATACATACATACATACATACATCCATCCATACATACATACATACATGCATACATACATACATACATACATACATACATGCATACATACATACATACATGCATACATGCATACATGCATACATACA